TTACATGCGCGCGAACTTGATGTATAATTTGCAAAATTTTGTGTTACTCACTCATTTATTGGAGGGCACTGTACATTTGTGAATGAAAAACTACTATTTCTTGAATTTAAGTAAATACAATATTCCTCATTGTGCAAGGTTATATAAATGAGAGTAATAATAATCAAGAGTCTGCACATACCACTTTCATATTCAACAATCACATGTGTTTAAATCACCCTAGTACTAGGTTGGCTTTTTGTTGGACCACCCAGCACAGATGTTTCATTCTGCATTTGTATTTGTAACAGCAACCAGATGATAATGATATGACTGAGAACCTTTTTTCATAGATATAGAGACATCACCATAATCAACAACAACTGGTTGTTATAGCTTAAAATCAGGTTTTTCTAAATTCTTCAGTGTGCGTTCAAGGAAATACCATTTCTCTGTGTTGGTGATGATTATGATACCAAAAATGGTATCTAATTTTCTGGCTTTGTTATTGTGCTTTCAGCTGGCCTATCATTGCAACTTGTTAATTTTGCGAGAAATATTAAAGTTCAGAAAGCTTACCAAAGTGGACTTCAACTGCACAGCATTCTGTGCAATGCCCTTCCTTTTGACTTCCATCACACCCACTCAGGTTGTATGAACTAACTGACTGCTGATGTACACACTGTGGATGTGAAATTTTACCATAACTAAACTCTTGGAATATCACTTGGTGCGGAGCATATTTTTGCCCATTCATGAGCCATTCACGCACTTTCTCAAATGAAGAATAAAATCTTCCCCATGCAAGATCCTTCAGGATTAGAATGATACCCAGTGGGTTGGTAGAACATTAGCCCGCAGCACAGAACTATTTCCTCATCAGAATCTATATATGGTTGGGTTACTCATTTTTTTTAACGTGATAAGTTAAGATAAATAATATTAGATGCAAAGGCATCCTCACTGTGCGGGTAGAATTCATACCACGTTTTGCTTTTTTGCAATTAAATATAAATACAGGCCCTTCAGGCGACTTTTCGAGACATGAAAACATAATCGGTTAGACCCTGCACCTTGCGCAATCAAATATAGAATTACGAGGTGTTAGTATTAGGTTGTGAGGTAGAAATTAATCGCACCAATGAAAAAAAATTCGCAAACTTATTCGGGAGTTAGAAAAATGTGAGTATGAGGGGAAATTAAGGCGGAATGCTATCAAGACGAAATTACGATCTGAAAAACCAAATATCAGACAATTGCGAATAACTCTCAAAAATCTCGAGACAAAAAGGCAATTATCTCAGTTAAATTGCCGTCATGGGTTATCTCATCTCGTGAAATTTTACCACTACGAAATAATTCTCCGTATCAAGGTATAACACCAGATAGTATGGCTCGCACTAGAAAGCATAAAACTATTGAAGATTATTTGGCCAATGTTCAAGATGGTATACAACGAATTTTAGCACAATTCACTCCAACGAATCGGTTTTACACAATCCACAGAAAGATTGATCAATGGAATCGATGGATCCTTAAATAATATTAGACGACTTACTGGAGACTTGCATCATCATATAATCAGTTCCATGTGCGCCATACTGGATTGCAAAATGATTTGACTAATGTTATTGCTCAGCGTGATGCTAATAATAATCAGATAGTTTTGTTACAGAACGACGTTAATACCTTAAGCCGTTACAGTTGGACAATAAGTGGAATAAGTGGAGAATTCGTGCTCGAAATTCTGAGCAAACATATGCCTGAAATTTGATCAAATTGTAATAATTGTGAAACTTCCACGCGCCGATTGTGGCGTGGAACTAGGCTTCATGACAACTTGCAGTCTCACATAAGTAACACTGATTAAAGTTACCTTTAACAAAAGTTATCTAGTAGCACGTATTAAGCCAAATAGCTTGTGTCTAGAATGTTGGAATAGCATGCCTTCTAGCAAGTAGAATGTGCAGAAGGATCTTTGATAATAGTAAATACAGTACCTACAATATTGTTCTTATTGTTACCTCTGTGTAGCTTACATTTTAAACCATGGCCACCCCCTAAATAAATGCTTCGCATCTCGCGCTAGCCAAATGCATGCAGAATATGGTATTTTGATACAAATATGGACCAAGAATATGTGTTCTGCATTTCGATGTGTTGACGGGATATCTACATTTCCAAATGTAATGCTAGTGAATGTATTGTAACTGATCATAAAATTTGACGTTGTCTGAAATTCATAATTTATAACAGGCGAACCTACGATTGTTCTAACGTGGCTAGTGACCATTGAAGGCAACTTTAGTAGTGAGTGTGTGCGAATAATATCCGATTTTCCGAATACACGAAATCACAGGATCAACAGACATTACAGCATTAAAATGATAAACTAACTAACCCACACGTGCAATTGAGAGCATTTATCAGTGTTCAATACCTTTTTTTGAACTGGTATCTTTCGTCAACATGCGACAGTCAAAGTCTCATAACTTACGGAACAGGCCACAGCTGCGAAACACTTCAGAAACACGAAAACGACACGTGCGAAAGAGGTCAAAAACTGACGAGTTGTCGGATCACGTAGTAATAGATGATATTTTTTCACCTTTACATAATAACGCCACCCGACAGAGCGAAGATGACGACAGCGACGATTCTGATTTGTCGTCATTGGATTTCTCGGGTACACACAAAAAGCGGAAGCCGCGCCCGTCCGTCGCTGCGGAGATTCAACAAGAGACGACTATGGAAGAAGTGCAAGTTAATAATCAGAAGGAATCTTTACCACTGTCTTCTAGCCCTTTGACAAAAGAACAGAACGAGAGTAATTGGCGTCGAAGCACGCGTCTTTTGCACAAGGTCGAAGATACGTCTCTTGAAAAACACACTGATTCTAAAGTACAAGAGGATAGTGAAAGAGTCTCAAAGAAAGCAAGGAAAAACGCAAGAAGTAGAGGTAGAGGTAGGGGAAAAGCAAAAAGCAAGGGTAGGGGCAGAGGTAGAAGCCGAAGCAGTGGGACATCCACGGCAAGACCAAGAAACAAAAAGAAAAATATTTCTCTCGTCGGATCAAACCTGGTGAAGCTGAAGCGGAGTTCAAAGTTAGCATTGGATTTTCTGTTAACGAGTTCTCAAAGTGCATTGGTGCACACTAATTTATCGGTATGTATAGATACTGGCTGATTAATCTTGCGCTTGTCGATGGAAAGACTGAATACTTGCAGTTGGCGGCTTGAATGAATAATTTCAGGTTTAATGTCGATTACGTTCGATTCATCATTCTATATACAGAACATAGTCAACGAAGCAAACTACGCACGAATGACAGATGAACAAAAGGCACGTCTACACAGGCTTATTCCGAATATCGATCTGGTGCCCGTTGGTACATCTTTACAAAGCACTCCGGTCGAAGTAGAGAAATCATGCAAAGTTTATGACAACGTGCAGGCAAAGGTCGAGCATATGGATATCAGCGACTCGAACGACCAGAAAATTACACCTGCCGCGGTGGAGGGGAATCTTATGAATATCAATGAAAATGATGCGAGCACAACCCCCCCACATCAACCTACTATTAAACATGTCCTAAGACCCTATTTCTTCCATGATGTCATATACAAAGAGTGCGTTACTGAGTTTCAGGAACAGCTGTACAATGGAGAATGTACGGAAGAATATAAAGCAACAGTTCGTAAAGCGAAAGAGGATTATCTTAATTCAAATGAGGTCGAGCCGTGGAAGGTACCTATCTCTAAAGTGAAGGAGCGTATTATACCGAATGCTAATTATTCGTAACTGGAACTTTTGTTCGTAATCTAGGATTTGGAATTTGAAAAACAGTGGGGCGAACTTAGTGTTGACTCTCGTACTCAAATTGCTGGAGATTCTGCTTCTATTGCCTTAACTGACATGGCTCTTGCAAGTATGTATGTCGTATGTAATTGATCTAATTATGCTTGTATCACGAAATAATATCAATCCTTGTCTTTTTTAGAATTAATTCGTGAGAATGATATACTTTTCTACGAACGATGTTTTAACAAAGTTGATGTAAAAGTCGTATCACGAGTCAGAGTAAGTGAATCAACAGCAAATATGTATTTGAAAGGTTTCATAGTTCCGTTCGTAATGCTATTTATTTCGGTCAGGTGATTTCTATAAATAAGAGGAATGGAGCACTTACGGTTGCTGACGAAAAGGATCCGGCCTTGGTATTTGATGACATAGTTAAGCCAACCACACTTGAGACGCAAATAATAGATGAAGATGGACGGGTTCCAAAGGATAGACGACCAAATGGAAACGCCTTTCGATCGATAAAACTGATACGGAATGGTAAAAATCTTGGGTCGCTTTTTCATATAAGAAAAGAATACTTTTATAAAGCGATTGGTGGACAGAAAGATTAGAGAACGTGAGGTGAACCCGTCGAGTGTATGAGGTACGGATGATTTCATCGGACGAGTTGGGATTAAGTAATAAACGAGCGGGCGAAAAGGTATGCGCGTAAATAGATTCGGTGGATTGTGGCTGAAATCAATGTACACATGAGGAGATAACTTACATGTATATAAATCTGTACGTAATTGTAAATTCTTTATAAAAAGTAGTAAATTGGTATGATGTTTTTTACTCCATCCGTATAATATATAATCCACGAATTGCGATTGATAAGTTACAAATGGTAGTTTTCGTATTGGTCATGTGTCAGTACGCTACTTACCATCTGAAGCTTGCAAGAGTAAACAAATGAGATGTATGTCAAATCTAAATACAAAAGCAATTGAATAGAAATATTGAATGGTAGATATACTAGAAACTAGCTATGAATTTGATCAAGCAGATCGAGTGTCTCATCGTCTCATCTCAACGTCTACTTTCTTCGTGATAAATCTCTAAATGCTGAATCGATGCAGTTCTTAATCTCTCTATATGATACTATGAGACAAGATTGTTCGTCCCTTGATACAAGCATAATTTTTTCATCTACCCCAGAGTCCAGCTGAGAAAGCAGGATGTTAGATATGAGAACGCAATTGGAATGAACGTATTAATATTATGTTACCTTATTCAGGCACATCAGAACATGTGACATATCAACAACAGGATACCCATTCTCGTCCACTTGATGAAATACATAATCCCTAAAAAGCTTAATCAAGTAGCGATCACCTGTTTCTGACCAGCTAGGATCCATATCGAATCTATTCATGATAACAAGCATGTATAACCACCGTTTAATGTTTACCCATACCATCAAATCTACCAAAATGAAATCAATACTCACTCTGGTCGTTCGTTGATGAATCCAAATTTGCACAAAAGCCGCACCAGTCTTCCGTTTTCCAATTCATGGCTCAATTCACTCTCCAAAAAGTCATTATAACTAGTTCAGAACAAAAAGTTAATTTATGAAACAGTTTAATCCGTTTTACTCGTGCAAATCCTACTCACTTGTGCGCACTGTTAATCTCATGCAACAAGCGTGGACCAATCATTGCGATAACATCATCGATCGATTTCACGGGAGATGGGTTGCTTAGCAAGTACAAGATGACATTCTTGAAGTCTGGAGAATATTGTCGAGAAATGAAATCTATTGACTTTTGAAGATTATGATTGACGGCATGCGGATGACATGCGAGTGAGACAAGAAGTTGTCCAAAGCTCAACAAGTCTTCTTGCTACAAGAAAAACAACCGTGTGGTCAGTTTCGGTGAAGAATTATCAATTGTCCGTTATGTGTTTAAACAGACCTGATAATGTGGAAGGTTTTTCCCCCCATCGTAAGTCAACAAATCCATTACCCCGCAACAGTTCAATCGTATGCTGAACTCCACACAAAATAAGTAACATTATCTCGAATGTATATTTTGTCTACAAAAAACATCCCCTCAAACTCACCGATTCTTACTAGTTAATAAAATCTTTGTTGGTTCTATCGTTCGCACAGCTAAACCTGAAGAGTGTATTGTCTTGATCGCCGATGCTATCTGACATATATAACTCCACAACAGCTTTTCCGGAATGGCGAGACCGTTGACTGGTGATGGGTGTATTTGCGATTGCGACGAAAAATGTTTGCTGAACAATGTCTGGGAAAGCGGATGGTAATCGTAGACGAATACTAGTGCTAAAAGGGATAATTATAATACATTATTGTATTAGTCGGGGAAGGAAATAAAGTTAAATTATAGCCTATTATTCTTACAATGATCTCCAAACGCTTTGGTAGTAAACGCTTCCCGTATCGAAACAACGTTTGCATGCCGTATTCGTCGCCAGCTTTCGATCGTCGACATTGCAATTTCGTTTGTCAACCTGTACCCTGACATTATGAATACAGAATTAGAGAGGTCACCTATCCTTCACCAGGATCATACGTTTACAACGCACCTTCTATTCGTCTCAGGCAGTACACTCGTCCATCCACGGAGCAGACACTCTTGTAAACTGACGTGGGATATCCAAAAACCTTGCCCAAGCTTTCCGACAAGCTTTCAAGAGGATATAGCGAGTGATAGACATGGATTTCCTCGGGTAGATTATAATCTTGAGCTGACAATGTTAATATCATACAACTAAGTAAAGCAGAACAAGAGTAACAGACGTAATCCGTGCTTATGAATTTTTAAAATACCATTAACAGTCTGCAATGTTGCTTCGTTCTTTCTCTGCAGTTCCTCGCGTAAATTATCTGACATGAAAAATGCATGAATGGTCTTCTGATGAGGATGCAAGTTTGAGACATGCGGCAGTGGAGATGTATACAGATGATACTGTAACTACATACAATCAAATACGATGAGTTTTTATATTCCGTAATGTTATAACAGAAAAGATGCTTGAAGAATACCATACTGGAGCAGGAAGTAACCCTGACTGATTCTGGTAGTAGAGTGGGTTTAGTTGAGCCAGTTGCGAAAAATAGTTTGCATTGGTCGCGTTATGAGACGAAGATTGTGATCGGGAAGATGAAGCTGAAACGGGGTAATTTGACGCCTACATATTTGTTAAATAGTTAACTTCACAGATGGTTAAACGATGTATTGACTGACACTTGATTCTCATCCTTACGTTTAAACTCAATGAGGCAATCGAACCAGCCAAAGCATTAAACGCATTATTTGTCATATCTCTGGTCGACATCAGATAGTTGGGCGTCGTCTGAGCTGGGAAATAATTCATTTGTTGATCGAACATCGCAGCACTTTTCATCCAAGAATATAATAAAAAGTAATTTGCAAAAAATGCTATATCTTGTCTGATAAATTAAAAGACAACCAAACAGAGAATATTATGTTCGAAAACCATACTGTTGCTGATCATCCTGATCGTAGAATTGCTGCTGATCGTTCGAACCTTGGTGAGTGTGGAAATCGAGACGGGTAAGCGAACAACAAGCGACTGGGAAAAAGTATGCACTGTAAAACACGACTAAAATTTTACCATTCTCAGGTTTTGAACCTTCTGATAATGTTACTGTAATATCATTCCAAGAATTAAGTTTATAATAAAGACACAAGTCAAAGCCGATATTAATGCATAATTGTATGCTGACCTTGACTTTGCTTAGGAATAAACGGCGGCGCATTTATAACATCGGGCGAAATTGAAGATAAGTTGCCTGACGGCTTAAATACTGGCGAATGGACACTCAATTTCGATTTAGATCTGATTCGGACGAGTTTCATAATCGAGTGAGCTCTCTGTGAAATAAAAAGGATCCTGGAATTGAAAGACAAATTTACGTTCACTTACGTTTCAGGACTTGCAGGCGGTGAAGTAGTTGGTGGTTTATTCTAAATAATCATGTGAAGGGAGATAAAATACTCGTTAACAGAAATATCTCTATATACTGTTTGCGCTTCGAACGTTGCTGATTCACATATTAATTGCATAATATAAACAAGTTTTAGTCACACGTGGACATGTAATGCACTTACTAAATCATGATTAAACTCGCATCCTTTGCCTTCGTATTTGCAATTTCCGTGTATGATCAAATTACGACATGTCCGCACTTTTGAGCTAGAATGAGCACTATCTATGACAACCAACACAAATGTAAACTAAAATAGTAATACACGCTTTCAAACAAAGCTTCCTAATCTCGGTGATCCAACTCGCGTAACTCCACATACTCTTATTCGAGTTATTTTTTGAAATAATCTTTTCGGCCGTAGGAGCAACAATCGGGACAGCAGCTGATCCCGACGGAACTGTAAATGAGGCCATGATCGTCTGAGATAAATAGCCTGATAACCTTTCGCATTAAATCAAGCTAACGTCACGACGGTTGCTCAAACGTGAACATCGCTTGGACACAAATAAAAAAGTAAATATCTAATAAGTACCAAGTCAAAAACTTTCTCGTTGGCGAGACCAGAGTTTATGTCACGTGATTGTACAAGATAATCATGTGCATGTAATAGAGAAATCTATGTGAATTTTGGTCACATTCTTTCAAAGCAAGATAATAACATGAGCAAAAACCAGCAGCAAACTGAATCAATTGAAAATCGTCCAAAGGATGGCAAAGTCGAATCCGCAGAAACAAATAATGAAAACGATTCGTTAGATCGTGCTGATGGATCTCGGGATCAGGCACACGCGCAAGAGTCTATTGAAATATATGAAGTTAGCTCTGATCAGCCTCGGGACGCTCAGACTCCCTTTCCAATGCCTGGTTTTAAGAAAAAGACACGTCAGACTGAAACTAAGGACCTTGCAACCGGTTCCGATTCGTCTAAAGACAGCGAGGCTCCGTTCCCATTACCTGGTTACAAGAAAAAGACTATAGTGGGAGCAACAGGTATATATGCAATGCGTCCATCTGGCGCGTTACTAGGTTTTGAAGGTCAATAAAGTAATGGTGTAATAACCGTTCTTTTACTCACTGCCTAAAGTATCTCCGTCTCCACCTCAACCTCCACCTCCACTATCATCTTCACAGAATCATCCTGCAGCTCCGCCTCTCAACTATGAGGAACCGGATTGGAGCGATTTACCGAAAGATTCATACTCCATGGAAGTTATCAAGGGCGGCATGGTTCTTGAAAACGTTGATTTGCCAAAGAAGAAATACATTACTTTTGGTGAGTTGCCGGGTGTCTGATTTTTTCTCGCTCGTAATGTAATAACAAAAAAGCGTATTTTGACGTTTATCATCATCAAGGGCGACTTCCAATATGTGATATCCAAATGGAACATCCTGTAAATACGTTTTACTTGTTGAAAATTGACTTTACCCGAATGAATTCAAATATTAAGTATTTTTATTGTCAGTCTACCTCTAGATATCACGCTATTATTCAGTTTAAGAATACAGGTTGTATATCGTATTGTGAATTCTGCTGCATAGTTCAGACATGCTGATTGCATAACTGATGAATCTGACTTGTAATAGGACAGGTTTATTTGTATGATTTGGATAGTGCCCACGGAACAAAAGTTAACAAGCAGCGAATTATTTCTCGTAATTATGTGGAATTACGTGTTGGGGATCAGATAAAATTTGGAGAAAGTACTCGAACTTACGTTGTACAGGGACCCGAGCCCGCACCAGCTGTTCAAGAATCAGGGAAAAAAGTTGGGACATCAATACCACGCGCATATCTGCCAAAGTCAGCTATTGAAAGTACAGGAGTTACATGGTAAGCAGCTTGGATGTTTGAATATTACGACATATTCCAGATTCTCAACGTCTTCAGGGGTTTTGGTGAGGACGCTGAAGAAGATGACTCGGAATCCGCCGAACAGTTGACAGGTACATGGCAGCGGGATGAAACCGCATACTATTACAAAGACCCCAAAAAGGCTCTCAGAAATTGGCTTGAGGTAATTTTTTATGTCAGCAAGTTCTAATTTTGCCCAAATCAATTGTCTCATTTTTTTTATCATAAATAGAATCGCGGGTTTTCGCTCGAATTTGAATATGAAGAGGAGGGTCCAGTACATCAGCGAAATTTTACTGCACGGTATTTATTGATATGTAACAATATTTGTAGCCAAGGTAATAATCGTGTTCGACAATGACGTTGATTCATTGTACAGAGTCCGATTACCAGACGTTGAAGATTCGTATGGGCAGCTGTATGGTATTGGAACCAGCACAAAAAAGAGGTTTGTTGTCAGACTTTATATCATTACCACTTGGTTTTTAGTTGAAATTGAACTTACTTTTTGCATGCAACATAGAGAAGCGGAAAGAATGGCAGCAGTTGACGCCTGCGAGAAGCTTGACAAATACGGCATTTTGCGTTCAGGACGTGATGCTGAAGCAGGTTTTATATGCAACTTATTGAGGACATTGTATCATGAAACCTCAGGCAAAACGCTTGGACATTTATCATAACTTTTGCTGTTATATCGTAGTGGCTAGAAAGGAGCGATTAAAGCGCTTATTAGGCGACGACGACGATGATGATGATTATAATGATGATTATTATGACCGTACCGAAAAAGGTAATTAAGCACAATGAGTAATAATTTTTGTTGAAAACGAGAAAATAGTTGGATTTTGGATGAAAAAGGGCGTCTCCAAAAATGATTTCTAGAATTACTGAGCGATATCTCATCTTTTTGACATTATAACGACAGCCAAAAAAACTAAAACACGTCAAGAACACAAAGCACGAAAAGCAGTGCAACCGAGGGTCGTAACGTATGAATCTCTCACAAAACAACATGAAGAACTTGCCATCAGATTGAACGAAGTTCGACGCAAACTTTCTCGGCTAACTGTTACAGGTACTTTATTTTATCTACATGCTAGCTACTACTTGAAGTTTGCCTTTATTAATACAATTATCCACTTATTGTCATTAAGCATCAAAGTCTGCCGATACGGCCGGGGAATTGGATTTAGATTCATATATGGCGCAGATCGATGAAGACATAAACGATGAATCTAAAGCGAAGCTCGAGGCAGAGCTGGATGACTTGTTGAAGGTGGGTTTCCGATAGATTAATCGGGTGCACAATGAATCACTTAATTGACGTTGTTACATTTCTTTATAACAGCAAGAACGACATTTATTGCGTCTTATTGAAGTGGCCAAACCAATGGATTTTTTCAAAAACACATGAGTTGGTTATTTAATCTGAAAGAAGTCGAGTTTCGCAAATGTATAAAATGCAAGCATTTCAAACTCAAGCGTCTGCTCAGGCCTAAATGTGGGCTCATAACCTCATTAGAGCCTATCCACAAGCAAACATGTCCACTTTTAAAATGCTTGACGCTACAAATTGAAAATGTGCAAACATACACGTTCTCTCACCTCAATCAGTTTAGTTGTTTCGAATTTCCCCTTTCTGAAGCTTTGATTGGTTGTATTTCGGAGGCACTGTATACTGCATCAATATACTAAAACCTTTTACGAAACATCCAACTCTTTCAAAAATATCATATTTAACACGTGAAAAACTTACCAATTTACTTATTTGTACGTTACTCGATAAAACATTACGAATGTTGTGAATCATTCATTGCTACTAACATATCGGGAAAAGAGCAGTCAGTCATCCGTTGACCAACTGAATACGTCGGAAAAGGATGAACCATATGAAGCTCTCTAACTATATAATCCCATCCTGTGCTCGACCGCCAGTGTTACAGGAAGCATTGTTTTCTCGATTTGGACGCTCTTACCGAAATGTGATATGACTAGCGTCAGTAGCTCTAGACCAGTCGAAAATTACCAATATATCACTATTCACTACGATAATGCCCATCATAATAAAGCACAACGGGAGACTGATTATCGAGTTAATTCTTCTTGTAGATTTAAAACCACGTCATCTCGCCAGGCACTACCCTAGATCCCGTAAGTAGTAGAGACACTTCCGTTGCGTACAAGAGTATAACAGTCGAAGAGTACGTTTCTCGTTCTACCCTATCGAGTTATCGATGGCAATAATAGGTTAATGTGATAGATCTTGCGCGTCAATTAGATAAGCTAACGCGAGAGAGACTTTTAAATAAATTAACGCGGCGAATAAAATGAACTTATTTGACTTTCTATGTAATACATGGTTCATCATTGCATACTGTTATGCATTTATATTTTGATGATTTTTTTAATACTTTATTTGTTACAATACCTAACATTACGTGCATTGAACTATAATAGGCAAATAAGACTATTGCTTTTAATCGTCAAGCAGCAAACCCACCAGGATAGATTCTTCACAAACAGCTAAGTAACCAATCAAATCGGTTCCTCAAACCTACTCCATCTCCACTAGCGTCCCATTGGATTCGATTACCTGGCAAACTCATCAGGGAGAAAAAAAGAAGTAAGAAAAAGAGAGAGAAAAATAATGTTCGTTATAATGTAAACAATGCGACACTTAACTTATACTTTTCCCCGTCATCTTAAAAAAAAAGAAGAGATGTCTGAGAGTGTTCCCCGTGACCCACTCATCATACCCGTGCCAGGATTACCTCACTACAGGCGAGCACTGGTGAAAGGGTGAGTAGAGGGGCGCTCTCCTCTGTTTTTTCGGAAATATTTTGAGCGTCACAGGTGACTCCACCAACCGATCCAACCAGCACCCGTCTAATAGTAAAGACGAAGGAAAGCAGTTACCTAGTGAACCGAATTAAAGCGCAATAGTCAGTGTCAATATCTTGCAGGCGGGATTGGATAATTTCTTTAATACTTTCTATTGAAATTTCTAATTATGTAATTTTTTCTAAGCAAAAAAAACATAAAATCAGTTAATAAAGGATATTATGACACAAAATAAAGACTTCCAAAAATATCTCTCGCCTTAATTCGGCGAGCAATGGCAAAATCTATTCTTTTCAGTCCTTTTTTGGCGTCGGCTTCTCAAATTACCTTATACATTCGCCTTTTTTAAGCCTACCCAATAGTTTTATCATCAAAATAGATAACCACCAGTAGCCACTCCTGGCCGCACAACTTTTATTTTGGAAGTAAACTCATAATCTTTCTTTTTTAAATAGTCTTTCATTAAATTATCAGG